GAGCAGTGCGGTATTCATTACGTAAGACATGTCAATAAAATCCAATATGGCGGCGTATCCATGGAAACGAAATTTTTTTCTCAAATTTGGTTGCGGATTTTAAGACTCCTTACTATGCTTGTTAAATGTGTGAAATTTGGTAAAATTCGGTCCAGTGATAAGCGAGATAGCCTCCAGGTGTAGTTCCACCCCCCCCCCCCCTTAAGGGCTGTTGAAATCTTTTAGTGAGCATCACTATGTAAGGGACTTTCGCTATGGATCCGACCTACCCTTCTTTTATACATAAAAGAAAATACAGTTCTTAAAGGCCTTCACCTTTTTCTTGTTGTTGTTGATGATGATGTTGCTTCTACTACTGTCGCTGTTTCCGATGTTGTTGTTTTTGTTTATGTTGTTGCTGTTGTAGTTATTATTGTTGTCATTATTTCTGTTATTATTATTATCATCATTGCTATTATTATTATTATTATTATTATTATTGTTGTTATTGTTGTTGTTGTTGTTGTTATTATTATTATTATTATTGTTGTTGCTGTTGATGTTGCTGTTGATGTTGCTGTTGTAGTTAGTTTTATTATTATATTGCTGTTATTGTCTCCGTTATTGCTGTTGTCCTTCTTCTTTTTATTTCTTTGTTTGCTTCCTTAATGTCCGACAAGATTCAGTGTTATGTTGAGATTCAAACAGCTTCTCAGATGACAGTTACGCTACATCACATCAGAAGAGCAAGCCTACTCACGGTCTGAATAGGAGCCAGGTTGAGGATGTCTCCCGGGGCTGTCATGAATACGTAGTGACTCATCTTCTCTATGAGGTCCGGGCTCCAGGAAAGGAAAGGGCCGTAAGACTGCGTCAGCTTGTCCAGGATTCTGTCCTTGACCTTTCCTGGCAGACGCCAGAAGAGCTCTCTCTCGCCAGAGATCACGTCCAGTTGTTGACTGTTGGAGATGTTTGTTTCATGTACGTAAGTAAGTAAGTAAGTAAGTAAGTAAGTAAGTAAGTAAGTAAGTAAGTAAGTA